TTAAAGCTATAGGATGCAATTTGAAGGTGGCTGCTATAAATATTCGTGGGAGTTATTTTACTCGTTTCATATTATAAAGAAGACCAAAAATTAGAGAGTAAGATATATATATATATATGGAAAGAAAGAATCACTATTATTTCGTTATATAGTGGGTCCGCAATGTCACTCTACTGTCCATTTTCCAGAGAATAACTTACCCGCATGTGAAATAAAATGGAAATAACGTGTCTTTATACTTTTATATTAACTAATTTAATTTAATACCCATACAAATGATATTCTATACGCAAAAGAAAACGAAGTACAATCGGAATAACAATTAGATGGCTATGAGCCTATATATGACCATCTCTTGTTTATATATGGACCGACCCTCGAGCACGTGCGCAACATTCATAACCCATCAACTCTGTACTGAGCTTGCGTGACGTCAAAATTAACAATAAGTAGTATGCAGAGTATATGTCTACTTATATTCTTTTTTGCATTATATACGTATTTACTCATATTTTTTGTCGCGACTTTAACTACGTAAAAGTTGTGCCCACATTACTTTATAATAAATTGACATACTATGTCCTAATTAAATTGGACGTTGGAATATACAAATAGTTAATTAACTAAAATATTTAATCACGAGAATCACGTTATTAAGAGGCCCTTCCACCCATGCTCAATTTTTTTTTTTTTTGAGAAAAATGCTCAATATTTTTTTATAATGCTGAATTTATTAATATTACTATATAGAATATTTTCTTAGATTTAACCCACAAAAATTAACGGAATCTTTTGGATCTATAGCTAGTTCTACATTTTGACTGATTGAACAACATTGCACTGAGAAAAGGTGACAATATTCTAATTATGTATTGGATATTTGAGCTGATTCTTTAAATACCCATGGTCTGGATATGAAATAATATAACGTTACACGTATGCAGTTATATGTTTAAATACATTGTATTATTCGATTCGGCGCCATTATAACTAAGAACCACTTTAATCTGATAATGATAAAATTTGAATTACTAAAATAAAACTAGCTTTTTCAATCTGATTATGCTTGTTGCTTTCTTTTCTTTTCTTGGTTTTCAGTGTACTTTGTTAATAACATATGTAGTATGTACACACATGTATCTTGCTTTCTTTTTGGGTTGTTGTTGTAAAAACCTCGAGTACTGTCAAGTGTCATCTCTTTATTGATATACAATATTCATAGCCTACTTCTTACAATGTTGAATATTCATTTTTAAGAAAGTAAGATTGTGATTGACAAAAAAAAAATCGCGATTGTCATTACCAAGAAAAAATTGTGATTAATATGTTGATTTCATTTCTACATGGAATCTATATATATACCAATTGTGTATTCATCTGAACCGGAAAATATTAGGGTTAGAACCGAAACAAAAATAATTAGCTTGCACTAAATATAT